GGGCTGGGCTTGGACAGCCCCGTCATCTGCTTGCCAAGCACAGGCAGGAGAGGGTTAACCAGGGGAGGAGCAACTCAAGCTGCCACCACAGAGGGGCCAGTGGAGTCCAGGGCTACAGCCTCCTGCCACAGCAGGCCCTGGAATGATGAAAACTTGTCAGGTTTCCTTTTGTTCTCTCTAACAACCATAAACACCTTTGAGGGGCTCTGTCTGCAGGGATCCAACACTTTGCGTGAAGCTAAAAGAAAAATATCTGCCCACACCCAGGGATTCTCGCTACAAAGACAACCCCTTAGGAGGAAGATGGAATGCTTTGTTTTCATTTGGCATCACACGGGCCAAGCAGAAGATTTCCCCCTTTTCTTTGCCTTACAGGTTGGCAAGGGGGACACTGCAGCAGGATTAAAGAGAGGAGACAGAGAGAGCTTCCCCCCTCTTCCCCCTCCCCCGCTCCCCCGGTCCCTGGCTGCTAGCTCTGAAATCACACACACACTCAGATGCATTTGTGATATTTTCTGGATTCAGCCAGAGGGCTCAGTCCCACAGCTTCAGGGCTGTGCTCTCTCTAGGTCCCCTTTCCTGGAACATTGCCCCCACCCCAGCCCAGGCCACTGGACAGAAGGTGGGAAGCTGAAGGCTGCGACCTTCTGACCAGGTGAGCAGTCTGGAAATATCAGAGTAGCACAATGGCCACATAACCAGGTTCTGAGTCTGTCTCCCATGAACAGCAGAGCTGGATGTCGGCCTGGAGGAGCCAGGTGGCCCAAAGCCATGTAGGGCAGAGGCGAAAGCCCTGTCTGAATACTCAGGTCTTTCTACCTGGAGGGGCAATGCCAATAGCTACACCTTGATGAGCAACACCTTCCTTGTATCTCCCACCACAGGAGCCTGAAAAAAACATACACCCATTCTACTTGAAAGTCCCTGGGGGCAGTCAAGAGTGACTGTCATTTCCTTTGGTGGAAAGTGAGAGGGAAAGGAGACCCCTGAGGGAGCAGTTGGGAGCCTTTAAAGCCCTGGAAACAAGACAAGATCCAGGCAGTCACTGTGTGTCTCTGAGCTGGACTTGCAGGAGGCAGAGGCCAGACAAGCCGATCTTTCCAGACCAACATGGCCTGCCTCTAAAAGGGTCAACACTGACAGCCAATGCCTTGCTGGTTCCGGTAACTGCTGCTGGGACCGCCTCATGAAGGTCAGAGAACCACTGGGCACAAACCCACAACTGAGCCAAAACACCGGTCATATTGAGTGTTTGGCTTTCTGAAGGGAAAACAGCCACACGTGACGGAATTACAGATTTCTAGTCTGTTCTCTCGGCCACTTCAGGGCGAAAAACAAATCTGCACCTGAGCCGGACAGATCAGCAGAGAGGGCTTGCTCAGGTGGAGAGAACACTTGATTCTGGGCTTAAAAGTGATTTGAAACTACTTTCATTGAGTTAAAAAAAGAATTGGTAATTTGAAGTAATACCTTGAATGAGTTAACAGATGATAAATTAGAAAAAACAATGACATGGAGTTTAATGTTTTGACTGAGACTTAAAAACAGAAGAATGGGTTTATTCAAATGTTGAAATCTTGTTTTTAAATCAATCAGGATTTTACGAGTTGCCTTGTTACTGTTTAATCTCCTAAAAGGGCGGAATTGCATGCATTTGAGTTGGCCTGCCTGCCCTTTGGTGTTTGGGTTGCTTTTGACCGTAAACATACCCTCTTCTGAAAGAACTGGGTTCTTGGACCCTGAGTGCAGGATGCTGTGAATAGTTCCCAGAAGCCCATTCACTGGCCGAGCCCCACGCCAAAAGGGTCAGGGTGCAGGGTACAGGCTTGGGGATTCCTGGGCTTCCCTCTGAGGTACCTTCTTAGTCCCCTAGGCCCAGTCTTGCCTGCCTATCAGTCCTGATTCTCAAAGTGTGGTCTGTGGACCAGCAAGGTAGCATCACCTTCGAGCTTGGTGGCAATTCAGAATCATGGACCCCATCTCAGATCTTTAGGATCAGAATCTTCATTTGAACAAGAGACCCTAGTGACCTGTATGCACATTAGCGGCTGAGTCGCTGCTCTAAGCGATTCTCTACCCTGCAGCCAGGGTGGCTTGTCTGAGCGCCCTCTGCAGGAGGGCTATCTCTCCAGCTTCATCTCCTGGCTCTCTCTCCCCAAAGTGCTCTACTCCCAGTGGGGAAGGCTGATTTCAAGCTCTGGCTCTGCCACCTACTAATCATATGATTCTAGGCAGGTCGTCTGACTTCTATGAGCCTTGGTTTACGCATCTGTAAAAGGGGCACAATCACTGTAATCACACAGGCCTGTTGTAAGAATCACAGAGGTAATGGAGTGAGAGCTGGGACTCCCTCCAATCTTGTTTCTCCTTTTGCCCCACACACCCACGCATTCTTAGATAACCTGTTTATGTTAATGTAGCACGAGCAAGCAAGCATCACTAATTGGCTGCTTTTGTTTGAGGGTGTTTATAAGCTGCTACTGACCAGCCAGTTGCTGGCTGCTTTGCTCATAATAAAGCATGTCCCACCTACCTACTGTCACTCATCTGTTCTTCCAATTTCCTGCACCCAGAGGGGTCAATTCCCTGGCTGAGGAACTTGCACCCAACACAGCCTTTGACAGCCAAGATAGTCCTAACAATGTTCCTCCCTCCACCTATGGAGGATTACTCTATCCATTACCGACGGTTGTCCTTGACCTGGCTCACCTTCCTCCTCTCTGCTAGCATACGCTGGCCAGACAACTTGTTCTGCTTGGCTTGCAATGGCTTGGCAACAAATATGAGCATGGCCCGTGGGCCTGTGGCAATGGTTCACCCCCTAGGTCAGTGATGGCGAACCTATGACACGCGTGTCAGAGGTGACACGTGAACTCATTTTTTTGGATGATTTTCTTTGTTAACTGGCATTTAAATATATAAAATAAATATCAAAAATATAAGTCTTTGTTTTACTATGGTTGCAAAGATCAAAAAATTTCTATAGGTGACACGGCACCAGAGTTAAGTTAGGGTTTTTCAAAATGCTGACACGCCAAGCTCAAAAGGTTCGCCATCCCTGCCCTAGGTTGTGCTTGTGAAGTACCTGGGAGCTTTAAGAACCACTGATTCCTGGGTCCTCAACTCCCCCTCCCCCCAAGGTGTTCATTTGATTGGTCTGGGATGTGGTCTAGGATTTGGGAGGTTTCCAGGTTTCCGTGGGGATTCTAATATGCAGCCTGGGTTGAGAGGCACCTCTCTCTGATGCTACAGGACGAGGACAAGCTCTAGAGAACTCCCTACTGGTTTACACACAGGAAACTCTGTCTCTGCTCTCCACCCCAAAGGGAGCCAATGGGGAATGCTCACTTGGAAAGTAAAAGCCTCTGCTCCCCAAAGCAATATAACCTCAAATGAACCTAACCCAACAAATTGAGTCCTTGATTAATGGAAATATTTTTTTGTTCCTCTTTATGAAAACAAATGAAAGCAGTTCAGCCTCAGGAATTGAAAGGGCAACTTCCAGGTCTGCCCTGGCCACCGTGGGTCCATCTCCCCTCCCCTCCTGCACGCCCTTGAGCACCCTGTGATGCACAGAACCCACAGGTGCCCCATCTTTTATGCAAGTCAACTTACACCCCAGTTACTAAAGACATAGAGCAGTGGTTCTCAACCTTCTGGCCCTTTAAATACAGTTCTTCATGTTGTGACCCAACCATAAAATTATTTTCATTGCTACTTCATAACTGTAATGTTGCTACTGTTATGAATCGTAATGTAAATATCTGATATGCAGGATGGTCTTAGGCGACCCCTGTGAAAGGTTGAGAACCGCTGACATAGAGGAATGGTTTAAGAAGTAGTCTCAATATCGAAGATTAAAACCAAAAAAGAACACCCCCGGCCCCAGCCACGGTTATTTCAACTCATGGGAGATTCCAGGCCCCAGTGGGGATGTGTTTTGGGATTGTGCAGGACAACCAAACAGGCTCTGCCTACACCATTGACTCAGAAGTTACTAGTAGCTCTGGAAGGGAGTTGGTCCTTGATTACTGGCTCACCTGTGATTAGGGTGGCCTGACTGGGCAGGTGTAGCTGGGACCGCAGAAGATGGGGCGCAGGGCAGGAGTTGAGAGCATGGGGAGGGTTAGCATCATGCCTGCTCTGCTGAGAGGCCCTCAGGCCTGGGATCAGAGATTCTCCCCAGGGCTAAGAGCACACAGTTCTACATGCTCACCCCTTTTCTCACTTGTTGGGAGATGCCACTGATGGAAGCCTGCTGAGCTGATGAGAAGAAAAAAGGTCAAACTGCTGGCCCCAGCTCCCAAACCATGCTTGCTGCTTTCATTCATTTCACCTGGATGCCCTCCCAACCCAGACTTCTGGGCAGATTCTTACTCAGCCTCTGAGGCCCAGCCCTTCACCGCAGGCCCGATCAGCCACCCGCCCTCCATGCAGCTTCTGTTTACCACTCAATATCCACAGAGTGCTGCTGGGCTGAGCCCGAGCCACTTACAGCAGCCCCCCATCCCCAGCTCTGTGCCCCGGCTGCTCTGCCCTGGGCTCACCCCACTGGCCAGCACAGCACTGCCGGGAGAGGGACCTCTCCATCTGCTGAATGGATGGCCACAGGAGCCAGGCGGCACCTTGGGTGGATGGCAAGGTGAGAGGGCTTCGGAGATAAGGGGCAGCCATACTCCAGGAGCCCCCAGAGCAGACCAGGGATGAGAGTATAGACTAACGTCAGGAGTGGCACTGGGCAAGGCGGGGGACACCTACATGGGCTCAGGTTCTCATGGGCAACACTTGCTTCATAAGTACCTATGATCAGGGGCTTATTGATGCAGGGATGTTGTGTAACTACATGGCAATAAAGCTTACCTTTAATTTAATAGGAAATGACAGATGTGCACTTGGGAGAGATAGAGATGGGGCAGAAACAGAGAGAGAGGGGGACAGAGATAGAGACAGACACACACAGAGAATGGCATCTGGGGATCCTTGCAGGGGCAGCCACTTACCAGTTCCTTCCTGAGCCAGGCTATGGCCTCGTCGATATTCTCAAAGCCTTCCAGCTTGCCCGTGGACCCGGTCCCGGCATCCTGGCTGGCACTGGCATTAGGTGGCGGGTGCTGCCTGGGTTCTTTCGGCGGCAGGGAGGGCTCTTCCTCCCCACACTCCCGCTGCTCAGCAGCCGGCCTGGGGAAGGGCCAGGCCTGCTCCTCCAGCCTCGCCTGCCATTCCAGGTAGGAGGGCCTGCGGGTCTCCAGCCTCAGTTTCTCAGTCAGGGCCTTCAGGCTCCGGAGGTGGTCGTCAGGAGGCGGGGCTGCTCCCGCCAGCACCTCTTCCCCCACCACCATTTCTTCCACCTGGATCTGGGGCACAGACATCCTAGAGCCTGCTGGGCGGTCGGACATGGGAGGTGGTGGAGGTGATGAGGGAGTCCTGGCGGCTGGTAAGGTTGGGGCCCACTCTGGGGTGGTCTCACCCAGCTGGGGCCAAGGCTCCCGTGGGCATCGCTGGGGTGTGAGCAGCTCCCGGAGCCGAGAGGGACTAGGCAGGAGCGCACAGGGTGCCGTCCAGAGCAGCAGTAGAGCTTTAGGTTTAAGATTGTCTCCGGAGTCCTGTGGGCGCCGTGCTCCGCACAAGGCAGGAACAGACAGGCGTTAGCAGGAATCTTTGGGGCAGCTTTGCCAAGAAGATCTATCAGTCCCGGAGATGCAGGCGGGATCAGAGATGGGCGGGGAAGCAGCTCCCTCCTTGTGGGGAAGGGCAGATGGCGAGAAGCTGCTGGCCAGTCCAGGGAGGCCCTGAGGAAGGATGCGAACAATGTCAGTAAAGGCTGTGAGCAGGGCCTGCGCGCTCCTGGGCAGGGGACACTGACAGGTGCAGTGACAAGGCTGCTAATTGCGACTTCAGGACTAGACATGAGGCGATTTTAATACCTTAACGTGGTGCAGGGGAGTTCATAATAAATCAATACTTTGTACAGGGTTTCACGATTTATGAAGTGACTCCGCCTCTGTTACTTCATCGTCCTCACTGCAAGTCTGTGATTCTTTGCGTTTGTCCCCATTTTGCATGTGAGACACCTGAGTCTCTCAGGGGTTAAATGACTCACCGAAGAGCTCCCAGCAATTAGCCAGGACAGGGGCAGGTGGTTGGATTCTGAGGGCTCAGGTCTCCGTGAGGGCAGCTGCCTGAGGGTCCCCAAGCAGCGCAGGTGTGCCTTGGGGCCAGGAACCACTGACCCCGCCCACGCCACCCACCACAGCACCTGTCCTCAGGCACCAGCTCCTCACGGCCAGTCCTACAGCCACTCTCAGCGGCTTCCTCCCAAAACAACACCAACTTCACTCTTCAGAGGAGGAAGCAAAGAGACCTGCAGCCCAGGAGGAGCCGATGAATTCAGGTGACTCCCCATTCTGGGAAGATGGTTATCACGGTCCTGCCCACACAGCAGTGCCTCCGGGGCAAGGGCTTCGGCTCCCTCATCTGATTTGGCCTCCCCACCTCTGGGGAGAAGGCTGAGCCAAGGTGCTTGCCCCATAATATCAGGGCACAGGGTAGAGAAGTGACCTGGAGTTAGACCTTGCCGCGCCCCCCTCCATGTCCCTGCACCCACAGGGTATATCAGAGCAGGACCCTTTGACTCAGACTATGGAGGGAACTTCTTGGCTTTCGGGGTGTTTAAAAAATCTGTGCTGGGGCAAGCTGTGAAAAAGAATGAAGGGATATGGAACAACGTCCAAGACACAGCTTCCCTGGAAAACACAGGGCATTTGCAGCCTGGAGAGGGTGCCATCTTGGTGTGGAAGAGTGTGTGGGGGGGAGACTTTTATTGACTTGTAGGTGCCTTTTAAAAGGTCTCTGCAAGGAAAATAAAACTGGAACTGAGAGTGTGCTTGCTTGTGGTGAGGGGACTGGGCGCTGGGTGATGGTGGGGAGGCATAGGACGAGGCAGAATTGGAGGGGAGCAAAATCAAAACACAGGCGGGGCCACTCAGGGAGGCTGTGGGGCTTCTCTCCCACGCGGGCATGAGGTGCTCAAAAAGAGCAGAGCTTGCTGTCTGTTCCAGGTGTTTCTACAATGCCCGCCTGTGCTGTAATCTGCCCAGAGGAAGACCGGCTGCCCTTTTCCCATGCTTTGCTGCCCCTGCTTTGGGGCACCCCTGAGGAACAAAGAGGACTATTCCACCCTAATTGATGGCAGGGAAACCTGGATCTCACCTCCAACCACACAGGTGGGGATCCCCTAAGGAATTTCCACAAATGGTGCATTGCCAGGCCTCATTCCTGGGGGTGGTAACTCAGTTAATCTGGAGTGGAACTCCGTGTATATTAAAGCTCCCCAAGGGGTCTGAGTGAGGCCGGGGTTCCTAGATAGAAACACCAGATGTGGAATCAGACGGCCTTAGCTGAGGGTGCTGTCAGGCTAGCTGAGCCTCCGTTTCCTTGCCTGTAAAATGTGGCCATAATACCAACCTCCTGGGTTTGGGGCATTGGCAGAACTAAGGTTGGTCCATGTATTCTGTAGGCTTAGGTGGGGTGTTCTCATGGATGTCTTTCTGTGCAGTCACGTGGTCACACAGGCGTCTTTAGAATCTCTCCTAAAGACCTATTAGTTGCTTTCTGGGGCCACTCCCAGGCACCGTCTACCTCTTTGCTGAGATGCCAGAATCTGTTTTGAGTGTGCCTTGGGGAGGCTTCACCCCAGAAAGGCTTCTTCCCACTGACACAGGAGCTCTGATTATTCCCAGCAATGCTTTTTGGAGAGGATCTAGCTGCAGGCAACCATGAGCAGATGAAACTAACGGGAAGTCTCACGTCCCCTCCGTCTCCCCCAGCTACGCACCCACGGAAGACGGCAGGACATCTACAGCGGAGGGAGAACCTGTTAGGGAAGGGTCTCCCTTTGGGGCGGGTGACAGTTATGACTGGATGACTTTATGAAGCTGCCTCCTTGGGAAGGGGGAGGTTATGTTAATTATCAGTTTCTAAATCAATTCAGAGAAGGCCTGTGAAGACAACGTCAGGGCAACTTGGGGACATTAACAGGAGCACCAGCGCCCTGTGAGTCAGCTAATGATGATCCTTCAATCCGCTGAGCCTTAGGGAGTGTGTAAAAGCACCCCTGTGCACACCCCTGCTCCTCCCAGTAGCCCGGAGCAGCAGGAGGGATCACCCCATTCCACAGCGGGGAGGGCGGGCCCCGGGGAGGTGGCAGGAGTGGGACTTAGGCACAGTTTTCAGACTCTAATCAGCCTCTTTCTACTCCAGAGAGTGTGGGCCTTCGGGTCAGACTCCGGGGCACCCAACTCTCATCGTGGGCATACTGTGTTATGACCACGCTGCTTCTGCGTCCTCTTCTGAGAAGTGGGGGTCACCAGGACCGGCTATGGAATTTGCCCAACTCGGTGCAAAGTGAGAATGCAGGGCTCCTTTTAAAAAGAATGAAGACTTTTAAGATGGCAACCGCAGAGCGTTAACCCAGGCGCAGGGCCCTTCCGGACTGCCTAGGTCCCTCATGAAGCAGACCCTGGGGTAATACTGTGGGCTTCATCCATCATTGTGAGGAATAAAGTAGCAAATAGCGAGCCCTTAATTTGGTGAGTGGTATACTTCAAAAAAGTATACCTCTAAAGTCACACTTTAAAACGTATTATTCTAAACCTTTACAATTTTATTAACCAATGTCACCCCAATAAATTTAATTTAAAAAATATTATCCTTAAGATGATAAGACCTATCCGTGCCACATCGGTCATAGCCCCAGATGGCCCCTTCAGGCTGCCCTGAGCAGTCATCCTGGGGGTCCCTGACCTGAGCTCATCTCCGCACCCTTCCATCCTTCCTTGAAAGCCAACTGAGATGAAGTCTGTGGGCCCCACCTCCCCCCTCCCACCCAATTTTCAGGTCTCGATTGCATTTTCATTACGCCAAATGAAGTCTGCCATAGCGAGGAGGAAAAAGAGCCCAGTTTACAAAATCACCACAATATACCTGCTCCCTTCCCTCCCTGCTCACATTTTATAAACACCCCGGCTCATGGCCTGGGGCCCCAGGTGACCCAGGTTTGACTGTGTTAGCCATGAGGTGAGAGCAAGGACTGGGGTGGGCTGCAAGCCCCTGGAATCAGCCCTCTCCTCTTGGCCTCAGTTTCCTAATCTGTGCACTGGCACCCCCCTCCCCATCTGCCTCTCAAGGATGCTGTGAGAATCAGCTGGACTCACCTGTGAAAGCTCTGCAACCTGTAAAGAGCGGTACCCACCTGAGGATTATTACTATCATCACGGCACGTGTGGTGGACCAGGGACTCAGCCCTTTAGGAGGTGTGGTCACGTGCAGCCTGCAGGGACCAAGTCCTCGACTGCCTCCTATCGCCCCCAGCACTCCCCAGGATTTGCTGAAACCGAATCTGTCCTCCTGGTCACTGAACCAGGGAACACTGCCTCTCTGGATGTCCCAGTGCCCCAGGGTCCAGTGGGGTTTCTCCCTCCCTCCCAGCTAGAATGTCACCCATGCAGGCCAGGCCAGGCATGACAGAGTTGGACCCAGTCTGAGCTGCAGGAGAGGTGCCAGCCAGGTGCAGGGGGCAGAGGAGCGCTGGCCAGCTTCCTGGGCCAAAGGGCAGTGGGGGCTTCCACTTATCTGGACAAACCAGGAACTTCCAGGGTGTGGGCTCTGGAGGAGGGACTCTCTAATGCCTGGACAGTCAGGCTTTCTTTACACCTAACCTAAGTCCTTCCTACACACTTTCTCTCACTCTGGGCTTTGCAAAGGCGAGAGCCTGAGAAGGAAAGCCAGGCCTGGGACCTGGGGCAGCCAGAAAAACAAGGTCAGACCATAGTCCCCCCAGGCCCAGGTGAGGCCCACCAGGCAGTCCACCCCACCCCCTGCAAGGGACCAGCCCCGGGGCATGTGGGCCTTTTTGCAGTGGGGACATGCCTTTCTGCACGCAGAGGCTGCTGTTCAAGCAGGCTGCCTGGCTCGCTCCAGACCACGGTGGCTGTGGGAGGGAAGGGCTGTGCCAGCCATGAGCTAATTCCTCTGGCTGCCGGAGGAGCCATGTGGGTGCAGCTCAGTCACTCAGCCAACACCTCGCCTCATGATGACCTAATCTGTTCACTTGGACAACTTTCAAACCCACTTCCTAGATGGGCTCCGAGGGCAGGGGATGGTACAGGGGGCTGCTGGCCCATTTTCTGTCTCTGTCTGTCTGTCTCTCTCAGACCTGTTGCCCAACATTCTTCTGAGAAACTAGAAAGCTGCTCGCTCTCTGTTTGGACCTACGGGCCTGTGCCTGCTCCTTCCGGTCTTAGGTTCTTCGCTAGAACCGTTCCATTTCTTCTCCACAAAGGCCCACCTGTCCAGCACTCCCGTCCCACTGAATTCCACACTCTCTCAGGCCTGCGACTTTGTACCAGCTGTTCCCTCAGCCTGCAATGCCCTTCCCTTCCCTCTATGCCTCAGTTCTCGGGAATTTTCTCCTTCAGGAAGTTTTCCTTAACTTGCCTGAGCAGTGTGTGCAACAAGAGCACTTCAGAGAAACAATGATGTCATCACAACAATATTAGCTAACGCTTACTCAGAGCACACCACGCCAGGCATTGTTCTAAGAGCTTTACATGCACTAACACATTGAGTCCCCACAACAACCCTCTGGGGCAAGTATCATCATTGTCTCCATTGCACAGACAAGGAGACTGAGGCACGGAGCGACTGAATAGCTTGTCCATGGTCACAGAACTAAGTGGTGAAGCTGGGATTTGAACCCCTGCAGCCGGCTCCACCTTGGCTTGTAACCACT